CGTTTCGGCATCATGGCCCTTGAGGGTTCCCTCCACTGCAAACACGCAGAAAACGCCTCAACGGGTACCAACTACATAGCTCACGAAGATGGACCAGCACCCCCGGGGACTCACTTAAGGATCCTGTTTCAGGATAGAGCCATGTGCGCATGGGCTGGTGTAATGGTGAAGTGTCGGGCGGCCCTAGGCAGGGCCCCCAAGCGGCCAGCTATGGACGTAGGACATGCGCCGGAATGTCAACCTGGGCATGATATGCCCTAGCACCTCCAACTATGTAAATTATCTTTCGGATAGCATTTGAGTTTGCTGTAGAGGCTCCTGAGTGGCCTTACCCTCGCGCCCTCCAGAGAACTTGACTCGGACCTTTCTGTTGAGAAACTTTGAGGGGTCGATGACGGAGCGTGGGTCCTTAGACGACATTTTGGAGTCTTCTCCGAGGTAAATGAAGGCAAACAAAGGGAAATGGATACAATAAAAACTCCAAAATAGCGGTTCTAATCTCCTGTCGCCATCTGGGGAAGAGAGCAGCGGGGCCCTCAAAACAACGGGGCTTGCTCGATGCTGCAGATGCGGTTGATGCTCTTGTCCTGTTACTGTTTAGTAGTGCCAGCACGCAAGATTCTTAGAGCAGTATAAAACCTCAGTGTGAGGTAGCTAATCACGACTGCTAAACCTTGAGGTGGGAATTCATTTTGTTGCTTGGACTGCTCCAGTGCGTGCACAACAATGCCGTGGCCATAGTGCAATAACTCGGCAAGGGTACACATATCTAGAGGTGTGCTGTTTTCCAGCTTACCTGCCTGCAAGGGTTGCGCAGAGGTCCCAGCGGCACATAAGTATATCCCGACACCTACCCCGTAACGGCAGTGGGCAATTGCCGCATCCCGCATGCTCGTAATGCGCCATCTTCCTCTATCAAGACGTCTGTATGGGACGGCTTGTGCACCATGTGGAGCGCCAACCTGTGTGCCGCATTCACAGCTGTGCCGTGCATGGGCGTCGAGTGGTTCAATAGGGACCGATGACCACTTCATACGGGCAGCCACAGAAATGGAAGCAACCGTTGCAACAGCAGGGAGAAGATCAAAAATGATATTAAGGACAGCGATGCTTGTGGTTTCACCTTCTGGGCTTTGCCGCTTCCGCTGCAATGCTAATTTTTTCCACACGGACGCAGCAGCTGCAGCAAGAGTAGCACCAGCAAGTCCTGCGGGTCCTCCATCAGAGCTCCACGTTCCCTCATCAACTGAATTACGCTTGCTGCGCGCAAGCACGTTGTTGTTGAACCACCCTCCTCCTGACTATGAAGTATCCGTTCATCGGGGCTTAAAGGTGCAAGCTTCGTTGCTGCTGCAGCGGCTGCCACTGGTGTATAGAGAGCCGCTTTACGAGCAGCAATTTCGGCTGTTTAAAGAGGATTGGGAGAGAAGAACAAATAACAGTGCAATGCCTGACGAAATAACATGCATGCAACTGCCAGGGCACCCGCTAGAAACGCAACAGGAGCAACGGGAGAACCAGCAACAAAAGACAGGCGATGCGGACCTTTCTGAACTGGACATGCTGCTCCAGCAAGAGGGCTTGATGATGGATAGGCAAAAGTTGAGGAAACAACGAAGGAAGCAGCAGGAGAATGCGGTATGCTCGGCTGTTTCGGTGCAGGAACAGCTTGTTTGACTGGAGCAGCAGCTGCCGCAGCAGTGAGCAGTGTATTTAGCAGGTATTCTGTGACTTGCCCGTGGCTTTTGTGCAGGGGATGTCAGATCGTGCCATGGAAGTAGCATGTTCAGCAGCCGAAAGGGAGGACCGTTTACTATCGCAGCACCCAGAAAGAGTGCTGCTACTGCTTGTAAAGTACGGCAACGGGTGGCAGCTTCCGGTGGAAGACAGACGACACGGACAGACGATGCGCCAGGTGAGCTGGGAAGAATCCTTCTGAAGCCTTGTGCACTAGCTACCGGCACAGTTTAGGAAACATGTGTCGTCGTCTTTTCATTGGATGGTGATGTAGTCCATTAGACTGTAGATGCAAATACAGATACGGTGGACAGCACATTTTGACCTGAAATTCGAAACTGTCTGACAGAAAGCTGGCACTGTGTAATTGCATTCGTTGGAACAAGTCTACTGATTCGTTTTTGTTCACGTCTATCTTTTCCCTTTGTCATTTGTCTTCAATTGTCTCGCTGTGGAAAGTCCCGTATCTCCATTGCCGCTCTGCAGCCTCAGTTCCCTCCTCCGGCAGCACTACCTGCTGCTGGTACTGCTGCCTCCAACCTTGTTTTTATTTCTGTTATTGTTGCAGACATTGGCAAGGCTGTGCGTTAAGCAGCTGGGTTTGCGTGAGGCCCCCTTTATGATAGGCTTCGCCCCTGCAGCAGTGCGGAAGATGCGAACCAAGCCTACTGCTGTTGTTCAGGGCCGAGAGGTATGCCAACCTGAAACCTTTTCTCCTGCAGATTTATCTCCACACTGTCTGCCACTCCTGCACATTGCACAGGCACGCTCAAATTCCACTGCTTCGCGCTAGCTCTCCCCGATTCGCTCCAGTAGCGCCTGTCCCCTCGGCTGCTATAGACAACGGGCCACATGGGACACTAGAACCCTAACGTCGATCTCTTGGGCTCATATGTACTACTGCAGGCCTCTGTACCCATATGTACTGCTGTTGCGGCGGCGAGTGCGACTGCTGTTGCTTTAGGTTTTTTACTACCGTGCCTACCACGTCCCTGAACAACCACAAGTGTCTCCACCGGCGGATAGTCCTGTGAGGGATTGGGCTTGGGTATCGGCAGAAGAGGCAAAGGGACGAATGGCCCCTAACGGCTTTCTTGCCATACGGAATGTTCTGCTCCTTGGCTGAAATGCGGATGCAACAGCAATAACAGCGTAAGTGTGGGCGGGACCTTGATGTAGGAGGAGGACTGGCTTTGCTCATCCTCGTTATTGTGGCGCTGGTGCTTCCCCTACACAGTATGCTGCAGCAGCAACACACCGCTGGCAGGCTAAAGAATTGGGCATTTGCTGCAACGCGACAGTTGCTAGCTTTCACGATGTCATAAAAGTATGTGGCGTGGCAAAGCGGCTCTGAGGGGGCTGCCCCTGCGTTGCCTTTACCCTTGATGTAATACTTTAACTGCAGGCACATTGTATGCCTGTTGAGGAAATAATCCTCAGGAAGAGCACTTGCTGCAGCGGTTATGACAGCTAATTCTCCCGGACGGCCCTGCTCTAAGCGGCTTCTCTATAGGTATATTGCATGCTGCCATCACCAAGGTTGCACTGTGGGGAGTGTGTGTGCAATCAGTTGTCCTTTTAATGATTAGCTGTCTTTGTTAGGTCTAAAGTTCGATTTGAATGTGTCCAGTGCGTAGGTGGTGGCGTCGCCGCGGTAATGACGCAAAGAGAGCTTTGCGACCAAAAAGTAACGTTTTCCTGCGCCGCCAAAGCCAACAGAACTTGTCTGCGTAGCAGAGGGAAGCAGTTCAGCAGTTCGGGTCTGATCTCACCCACAAAGGCCCAGCGCCTCCCGCAGTGGGCTTTTGCTGGGTTGTCGATGCCAGATGGTGCTGACAGTTTGTAAGGTGCGGTGCGCAGAGATTGCTTGGGCTGCTGTGAGTAAGGTTGAATGTCGTTCTGCCAATATCAATTTGCGTTTAAGAGACCTATACGGGTCCAGGGGGACTGTACACTAGAGCGGCCACTTATTCACTAAACCCCTCTATCGCTCCCAAGTCCAGCTGACAACTGGCTGCACATGAGCACGTTGGCACGTATCCATTGAATTGAGTCACGCTTAGCTGGCGCCGATGTCGAGAACCTGACTGGTCCAGCGGCTGACTCATCGCATTGGTGGTGCTAATGCCGGAATTGCATATTATGTCTTACTATTAATGTTACTGAATTTGAATCTCGTGATTTCATGAGTTCGGCGGATGAGGAGCACAGAGCAATCGACCGACTCCATTAGGTATTCGCTGACTGGCAGACCGCTCTGGGTGGCAGAGACGCGGGCAAGGGGAAGCAAATGTTCCCACAACCGGAGGCATAGGCCTAGAAATTGATGGCAAGGG